CAGAGCTATCACGAAGCAGCCTGCTCAAAGGTTACTTTTCGGCTGAGCAAGCTGTCAGTGTTTGCCAGGCAGACTCGCGGAATCCTTTTCGTCCATCTCCTGGCCAGAGACAAACCCCGAAGACACGCAGCGCCTCGCCAGTGACACGCGCCCAATCGACGAAGCACGGTGTCTCTGGCAGAAACCGCTATCTAAACATATTCCGTCACTCTGCGTGTTGTGTTCAGCTGTGGCTTGCAAAGAGCAGCTTGCCAAAACACAAGTTGCAAAGAACATCGAGAGCTTGGAAGGCTGCTGCCACGCGCGCCCCTGGCTCTGGGGCACATGGCGGACAGGCACTGCCAACACGGCAACGTATTTTGACACAAACCGCATACTGCAAAAACGACGTGCCCTACTCTGAGCCCAAAGCAATCATGCTAACAAACAACAACTCCAAACAGCAATGGGGCATATAGTTCTGCCTTTCTTCAGGTGTACGGCCAAAGCGATTTTTACTGCAAAGGCCAAGCAATGACGCCATTCACGTGATGCTTCTCGAAAAACCCAAACAAACAGAAATGGTAACACGCAAGCTCAGACCAACACACCGCAAACCGAAAGGGTTCCCCAAGGCTAAACACCAGTGTCAAAGCGGTAGCGTTCTCACGTTGACGCATATCCTGAATAAACTGAAAGTGGGCCCAAAAACGCGAGCGACGATGCGGAAGTGGCAGTGTGTACGTCACGGAAACGCTCGAACGGTCTCGAAAAGGGGTCGGTACCAAAATGATACCCTCTCGCGCTCACGGGAACACGCAGTGGACTGAAGGGTTCTCCACAGCGCAGTCACGAACGCCGTGCGCACGTTGACTGGGCTGCCCAGAAACCGAAAAGGTTTTCCAAGGGGTCAACACCAAGACTAATGGCAACACCCCCCCCCGACTCAGGAAACCTGAAACAGTATCGACACCATGCCGCTGTTGCCCAGAAAAAGTCTAACCCAAAAGCTGGACAGCAGGATGGCCTGAAACGAGGGAACAGGGGGCTTCAAAAAAAGGCTTTGCGTTCTGAGGAAGATCTGTCCTTTTGGGTGCTTCACTCAACCGGAACCATCAGAAGAACAAACATCTTTTGTAGGATGTCCCCTGATTGTGGAGCACACTCGCCTGCAGCAACGCATTTCAGTAGCAACCAACAGCAAGATGCCTGCTCGCCGCAGCTTTTGGCACGTCCTGAAGGCAGGGTCAGCTGCCCGTCATGCTTCTGCGCCCAAGCATGTAGGCTTCACAGCAGCAACCACACGTGACCGAATGCCTCCAGGCCTGAGCGTGGCCACTGGCACTTCCCAAACCAACGCCAACCTTGGGAGAAGACTGTGCAAGGTCTACAAACCGTCGCAGGTCAAACTCAAGAAACGATGCCTGGCGGCACCTGTCACCGGAAAACAGAATTTCCTGAGGTCTTGCTTAGTATACAACTTGAAGGTGGCCCCAAAAGCACTGCAGGCCACACACGGCCAAATATCCTGAACACGTGGCCACATGCATTTCTCAGGGCAGTGTCAAGATCTTGGGATCTGTGCGACGAAGGTCGGGCATTCCGGCCGGCAAGGGTGCGATTTTTTGCAAACAAATCTCCAAACGTTTTGCTTAGTATACCGCCTCAAGGACAGCTGGGCGACATTTTGGCTGCTGGTCTGGCTGAGCAGACATGGCACCAAAAGAATTGCAGGCCGCACACGACAAAATGTCCTGAACACGTGGCCACAGGGCAGCGTCCAGATCTTGCGATCTGTGAGACGAAGGTCGGGCATTTTGGCCAGCAAGACTGCGAAGTTTTTTTGACTGGCAAACACATTTCCTAAAGTTTTGCTTAGTATACCGCCTCAAGGACAGCCGGGCGACATTTTGGCTGCTGGTCTGGCTGAGCAGACATGGAACCAAAAGAATCGCAGGCCGCACACGACCAAACTTCCTGAACGCGTGGCCACATGCATTTCTCAGGGCAGTGTCAAGATCTTGGGATCTGTGCGACGAAGGTCGGGCATTCCGGCCGGCAAGGGTGCGATATTCTGCAAACAAATCTCCAAAGGTTTTGCTTAGTATACCGCCTCAAAGACAGCTGGGCGCCATTTTGGCTGCTGGTCTGGCTGAGCAGACATGGCACCAAAAGAATTGCAGGCCGCACACGACAAAATGTCCTGAACACGTGGCCACATGCATTTCTCAGGGCAGTGTCAAGATCTTGGGATCTGTGCGACGAAGGTCGGGCATTCTGGACGGCAAGGGTGCGATTTGTTGTCAAAAAAATCTCCAAAGGTTTTGCTTAGTATACCGCCTCAAGGACAGCCGGGCGACATTTTGGCTGCTGCTCTGGCTGAGCAGACATGACACCAAAAGAATTGCAGGCCGCACACGACAAAATGTCCTGAACACGTGGCCACAGGGCAGCGTCAAGATCTTGCGATCTGTGAGACGAAGGTCGGGCATTTTTTTGGCCAGCGAGACTGCGAAGTTTTTTTTGACTGGCAAACACATTTCCTAAAGTTTTGCTTAGTACACCGCCTCAAGGACAGCCGGGCCACATTTTGGCTGCTGGTCTGGCTGAGCAGACATGGCACCAAAAGAATTGCAGGCCGCACACGACCAAACTTCCTGAACACGTGGCCGCATGCATTTCTCAGGGCAGTGTCAAGATCTTGGGATCTGTGCGTTCCAGGCCCTCCAGACAAACAGGCATAGGCAAGGGTGGATTTTTTTTGATTTACTTTTTTTTTGACAAACAAATTCTCCAAAGGTTTTTGCTTGTAGTATACCGCCTCAAGGACAGCTGGGCGCCATTTTGGCGCTGATTCTATTAAGCAACATGGCACCAAAAAGTAATTGCAGGCCCCGCACACGATCACAACAATGTCCTGAACACGTGGCCCACATGGCATTTGCTCAGGGCAGTGTCAAGATCTTTGGGATCTAGGTGCGTACGAAAGGTCGGGCATTTGGACGGGCAATGGGGTGCGATTTTTTTTTGGCAAACAAAATCTCCAAAGGTTTTTTAGCTTAGTACCCAACAGCTACAAGGGGACGAGGGCTCTGCAAGCGAAGGACAAATCGCCAGGGCTGAGCAGACATGGCACCAAAAGAATTGCAGGCCGCACACGACAAAATGTCCTGTGGCCACATGCATTTCTCAGGGCAGTGTCAAGATCTTGGGATCTGTGCGACGAAGGTCGGGCATGCTGGACGGCCAGGGTGCGATTTTTTGTCAAACAAATCTCCAAAGGTTTTGCTTAGTATACCGCCTCAAGGACAGCCGGGCGACATTTTGGCTGCTGGTCTGGCTGAGCAGACATGACACCAAAAGAATTGCAGGCCGCACATGACAAAATGTCCTGAACACGTGGCCACAGGGCAGCGTCAAGATCTTGCGATCTGTGAGACGAAGGTCGGGCATTTTGGCCAGCAAGACTGCGAAGTTTTTTTTGACTGGCAAACACATTTCCTAAAGTTTTGCTTAGTACACCGCCTCAAGGACAGCCGGGCCACATTTTGGCTGCTGGTCTGGCTGAGCAGACATGGCACCAAAAGAATTGCAGGCCGCACACGACCAAACTTCCTGAACACGTGGCCGCATGCATTTCTCAGGGCAGTGTCAAGATCTTGGGATCTGTGCGACGAAGGTCGGGCATTCGGACGGGCACTGGGTGATGTTTTTTTTTGCTAAACAAATTTCATGCAAACCACACTTGTGGTATCAGCCTCAAGGACAGCTGGGCGCCATTTTGGCTGCTGGTCTGGCTGAGCAGACATGGCACCAAAAGAATTGCAGGCCGCACACGACAAAATGTCCTGTGGCCACATGCATTTCTCAGGGCAGTGTCAAGATCTTGGGATCTGTGCGACGAAGGTCGGGCATGCTGGACGGCCAGGGTGCGATTTTTTGTCAAACAAATCTCCAAAGGTTTTGCTTAGTATACCGCCTCAAGGACAGCCGGGCGACATTTTGGCTGCTGGTCTGGCTGAGCAGACATGACATCAAAAGAATTGCAGGCCGCACACGACAAAATGTCCTGAACACGTGGCCACATGCATTTCTCAGGGCAGTGTCAAGATCTTGCGATCTGTAAGACGAAGCTCGGGCATTTTGGCCAGCAAGACTGCGAAGTTTTTTTGGCTGGCAAACACATTTCCTAAAGTTTTGCTTAGTGCACCGCCTGAAGGACAGCTGGGCGACATTTTGGCTGCTGGTCTGGCTGAGCAGACATGGCACCAAAAGAATTGCAGGCCGCACACGACAAAATGTCCTGAACACGTGGCCACAGGGCAGCGTCAAGATCTTGGGGTCTGTGCGACGATGGTCGGGCGTTCTGGCTGGCAAAATTGCATTCAAGCAAAACTACTAAAATTCAGAAAAATGATGCCTGATGAGGTCCGGCGGCTGCGCGCGACAACATCTGGCTGACCAGCTTCGCACCTGACGCTGGCAGAGCCCAATCGAAATGCGCGCGCCGGCTCGCAAAGAAGTGCGAGACAAAACACATCCGGCCGTCTCGCTGCGCCATTTCAGCAAGGCAACCCTATGTCAGCAAGCCGGCATCAAGGCAGTGTCGTGTCAATGGAGCACGGCCATCCTAGTTCCTCTCGGCATTCCTTTGCCTTGTCAAGTGTTTTTGAAGGCTTGTCCTGAAAAAGGTGGCGAAAACCCTGAAGGAGACTCTCTGGCGGACCCGCCTCAATGGTTTGACGGATCCGGGCATCCAAACCTATGCTTCTGAGTCGGTCAAGCGAACGAACCCGGCTTAGAGCCACGTAGATTATGAGCCAGCGGATGTCTGCAGAGAGTCGCGTCGGCAACTGCCAGTGCATGACTAGCCCCGGCTCGGCGGTTGTGCCTTGCATAGAATATAGCGCGCATGTCGATGCTGGCAACAAGGGCAGCCCGGCTCTTTGAACAGCGCATTTGAAGTCAGTTTTTGTAGAAACAAAATTCCAAACACGCTTGATGGGCTGCACTGCCAAAACGCCCGCCAAGCCGCCGCACAAGGCGCAGTCAGGTTCAACGCTGGCGTGCTCTGCGCACGACTTGTGCGGCAAAAAGCGATGCTGGCAACCGTCGAGCTTCACGTAGACGCAAAGAGGCAGGCTGCGCAGCACGATGTCTCCCTGAGTGGCGGCAGCCCGGCGGGCGTCATCACAAGACGGAAGTTGTGAAGCGCACTCGCATGCCGAGATACAAGATACAAACAGATGGAATTTTTTTCGTCGTGTGAATGTGATACACTTGCAGCATCTCGCGATACAAATTTTTGCTACAAACCTTTTTGGGCGCATCGCAGGCTGGAATGTACATCAGTCGCTTTTGGTCGTGCTGCGCTTCTGACTGCGCCCGCAGGAAAGCGGCCATAGTCACTAGTGACCACGTGTATGCGACGTGGAACCAGCCATGGGTCTCTCGCAAAAACTGGCTTGCGTTGAAGTTCGTGCCACCATCTACTTCAGTAGCTTGCAGAGCGTGCCACTGCTGGTCTGTCAAGGCTTGGCCCTCTGGCTGACGCATTGCAGTTAGAATGGCGATCAGATTCTGGTCACGGAACCTTCTGGCTTTCTCGAAGCAAAAGATGTCTTCAATGTTTCCGAACATGGCGCTGCCCGCTTTGTGCTCGCTTGATGTTCCGTCCAAGCTCGCAAAGAAAGACGTGCTCTGCGGCACAGGTGGCAGCTGAAGATGATCACCGAAAAGCAATAGCACAGGGATATGGCCGAACAGACCAGGCGAGGACGCATACGAGTTCAGGTCGAGTTGATAAGCATGCCGGCGGGCATAGCAAGCACGCAGAGAAACGCCGTGAAAAAGCGCTGCAGGAATCTGGCTGAATTCGTCGAAGAGTTGGGCGCCTGCTGGAATGTTCAAGATCTGAAGTTTCTTGAGCGCCGTGTCGCTTGGCTTCAGATTGGCGGTCCTCAGTGACTGCGTGGCCGTCAGGGCAGATGTTACGTGAAGCGTTCGGCCGCCAATGAGGCGAGCAGCTTTGTTTGATGGCGCCTGCTTTAGCAACCCTTTCGGGCCAAAGTAGGCTTGCAGCAAGGGTGTAAAAACTTTATTGATAAGCAAGGACTTTCCGCAGCCGCCTGAGCCAACAAAAACGACTCTCACGTAGCCTTCCTGCCAGCGAGTCGGAATCAAGTGCGAAGATTTGTCGGGGCGGGCGTCGAAAGCTTTCTGAAGAGGAAGAACGACCAAGGCAACAGCGTTCACCTGTTCTTCTGACAAGTTTTCATCTCGGCAAGCGCCATGCCACGTGCTTGGGGCCCTGCAACAGGCACGGGTTATCTATCCATGTGCACATTGGCTCTTCCGCACGATGGTTGCTCATCGCGGCCTGGAAATCCGAGCTTTCAGCGTCTGCGCTACCAGACGCAGCTTCCAACTCTGACAGTGATTTTTCCGCCATTAGCTTCACTACGCAAGTTTGGTGCTGCAAGGCCGCCGCTGTGCTTCCAGCAGAAAACTGCGCTTCTGTCAGGCTGCTGGACGTCAAGAAGTGCGGAGACGAATCCATGGCACGCTGGAATAAGTTTGCAAACTCGGCCATTTGCTTGATGCGCTCTGCTGTCCGTCCAGGAGCCTTGGCAGCCCTGATTTCTTCCTTTCTTGCCAAGAGTTCCCTCAGCTCGTGCACGTGGAGATCCAGTGGCACACGCGCTGAAGGCAGGAAATCACCCGTTTCGTCTTCGACTATGTCATCTGCTTCTTCATTCAACCCTCCACCGAAGCACTCAAATTCATTTTGGACCTCGTCCTGGTCGCGAGGCAAGAATCCGGAGTCTTCTTCCACTTTGGGCAGGTCAGCGCTGGGAGTTTGCTTCAAAAGCTGTTTTCGGGCTAGCATGTCAGCATCTAAGTTTGCTGCGCACGTGGCGGCCAGCCAAGCAAAGAATTCATCGGGAAACATTTGGTCTGAGTGGACGCCAGGCTCAATGCCACAAAAGGCGGCCAGCCGGCTGCGAGCCTCCCAGCACATTGCATACGAGAGCCTTTGCTTCAAGAGTTGCTCCAAAGTCAGGCGCTGCAGCATCTGTTTTTCAAAGTTTGCCACATCTTCAAACCACATCTTTAAAAGTGTTGTGTCTCGGAGAACAGGCAGGCGCTTGGATCTATGCATTTTGCACACAGCCTTCGCCTGCAAACACTTTAGCTGGGCTTGGCAGGCCCGCCACGCCGGGCCAAACGCCGGCTTGTGGCCTCGGAACGCTGGAGCGGGCTCAAACGGAAACAAAAAAGTCTTACACAGCAAAGGATCGTTGCAGCGCCCTTTGCCGGGACAGCGAACTGGCTGAAAAAGCATGAGTTTGTATTCGGCGTGCTGTTCGCCCTCCTCCACATCAGGGCACTTGCGCCCGACAAACCTTGGCAGGCAGCAACGCTGCCGCACAACCTGGCAATACAAGTCCGCGAGAGGGTAGTGCGAGTCGAACGCAAATGTTTCCTTTGGGTGCTCAGCCTTAGCCACGGATTTCAAGATGCGCAGCACTCGAGCGTTGTACACATATAATGGCATGTGTGCCAAATGCTCGCCTCGATGCAAATAGTCGTCAAATTGACCGGTGCTTCGCCTAAGAACCTCGATTTTTGGCTGATCCATTGACGTGTCGCTACCATCGGACTTTGCATCGGCTTCTTCCTCCTCGGGCCCTCCCATGAGGTGTTCGGGGCTGGACGGCAGGTCATCCGCGCAGCAACCTGCGTCGGACGGCGCCTTGTCTGCACAGCGACCAGAACCCGGCGTTTGCGTGGGAGGCTTGGCTGAAACCTGAAACGCGTTCCACAATGATTCTTCCGGCGGCTCTGCTATGTAGTCGGGCGCTGCAGCCTTCACCAGGATGCGCTTGCATGCTTCCATGTAGTACAAAGGCCGGCTGAGAAACAATGGCACGGAATGATGTGTGCTGACAAAATACTCGCCGCAAATGATGAATAGAGCCAGTGATGGGCAGGAAACCCACGTGCTCCTATTTGCAGCCATTGCCATCTTGATGCAGACTTGTCTAGCGCGCTCTTGGGGCTCCATCTGCTCCCGCTGCGTTGCAGCTGCCTCTGCTTCTAACCGTCTAATTCCGGCAGCGTATTGCACTACAACGTTTGACAATTGTTCTAAGTCTTTAGACTGATATTTTGTTATATAATAATCACAATTCTGGGCGGCAATTTGTGCGGCACAAAGCGCATACATCACTCGACGGACGAGTGGCTGCGCTAGAGATTCAACATTTACGTTGTAACAGGATGCCAGCAGGCGGCAATGTCGATCCGAGATGTCGGCTGTCAAGCTACAGTGATGTTCTGCTGGGGGCGCTCGCGCCATGAACTGGAAGTCCACATTGCACCTCGCAGCTGCCAAGCCAACGTCCGTGGAGCTAGAGCGGAATGGATGAGTGCGCACCACTTGGGCTCGACCAAACTCGTTATGCTCATTTGTGCTGGCCACGAAAGATGTGTGCACCAGACGCTTTCCGCGACGTCGGATGCGCCTCACCACCTTGGCAACTCCGTCGATCAAAGCCTCAAAGGCATAAACTGTGTAAAAAGAAAATCTGCACAGCGGGACCTGGTCTTTTTTCAAGCTGTTGCGTTGGTCCTCTGCGCTCATCTTCTTTGCGTACTTCACACAAGTGGTGCTGCAGTTGTGATCGTGGCAATGACAATGCAAAAAGCGAACGTCATTCGCAAAGGCCTTGCTCCAGTTCGCACTATCTCGACAAATGTCGCTCCACCCTGCAACCTGCCCGTTTGGCATGGTGCAGTGTTGAAACTGACCAGACTCATCAAAAACCCATGGAAGCGAGGCGGCGGCAACTTCTACTGTCATGTCACTTCCAAACGCTTGGGGGAGCCTGTAGGCAGGAAGTGTGCTGAGCTCGCAGCCAGTGAGTTCAACTTGAGTATAAGGGTTCCTGGGGTCGCGTTGGGCCGATGCTGCCTCCAACATCTCACGGGCAACGTGCTGCAAAGGCTCTGCAGGCGTCACAGGAATGTGCTCTCGAGCTGCACCATCCGGCTCCTGTCCTCCATCCATCCTTGATTGAGCTTGCTGTTTTTGGGAAAATGGCTCGGCTGGCGCGCGAATCCCGAGTTGTCTGCTGGCCAGAACAGCTGACTCGTACTGCAGCGAGCCTGCGGCTTTTAGCAAGCGCTCCCGCGACGCCTCCAACATTTGCTCTGAAAGGCCATCGTTTGAGCCGACGCCAGAGCGTAGCTGTGCAAACAAAGCCCTGCTTGCGTCTTCCTGGCCCGAAGGTATCCCATAAATCTTGCGATGGGCGTGAAAAAATCCGCGGCCTTGGTCTTCCAACGGTGCCAACATCCCTTGGCAAAACATGGCCAGGCCAGGGGCCCCGCTTGAAGCCATGTCGTCTTCCTGCTGCAGCCCCAAAGACGACAGAGAAGACTGGACCCGGAAAGTTCCAAGGAAAGCTGATGAAATCCCCAAAAGGTGTCGCAAAACCAGCTCCTCCATTAAGAGCCAAAACTTGGCGGCGCTGCGTGGGGATGCGGCGCAAATTTGATGCATTTTCTGAAGTGTGGGCATTTTGGGGCAAGCTTCACGCAGGGTCTCCAAGCTGCACAAGGAAATGTCAGCGGAATTTTCCACGGATTTGCTTTCAGAGTTGAACAAGTGAAGCACAATTGGGTGGTACACATCAGCCAAATTGATAGTCATGAAGATCAAAAGTGGCCCCCATGCAATGTTCATGGCGTGCCCGATGTGCCGATTCATTGTTCGATATCCGCTCGTCAAAGGTACAATGCCGGTTGCAAACTGCAAGTGCCGCAGAGCTGCTTGGATGCGTCTGTCGCTCTCTCGCAATTCGTGACTGCCTGCCCCTGACTCGAGCTTAACAGCCCACTGCATAAAGTCTTCTGAGCTCACTTTTGCAATCTCGCGCAGATCTTGCTCAAACCCCTGCCTTCCGAATGAAGCTTTGATGGCCTGCAAGGTTCTCAGGCGTCTTAAGCAGTCAGCAAAAACACAAATGATTTCTGGTTTGTCGAAGCGAGACCGCGTGGCCGCAACAAATTTTTCAGCGTCCGTGGCAAGTCGATATTGAAGCTCTTCTCTGCTCAGCAAAGCTGAGAATATTTCTTGGATTGTGACTCTTTTGTTCGGACGGTTCCCAAGGTTGGGCACGGCGTCGCCATGCAAAAATTCGACAAAACACATACTCCAGCTACTGGGGTCAAACATGGAAAGAGGCTTGCCTGTGGGGACGCACAGTACTCTGGGCTCGCTGGCTTCGAGCAACTGCTGCTCCCACTTGCCTGCGTCCGCCTTTCGAAGCCGGCTCAGGATGTCTTTCGCATCAACGGCAACTCTTCTGCAGTGCTCATGCTGCCCAACTGCTGCCGTCGCCGCAGCCACGTTGTCTTCGCTCCCAGGTTGCGGGTCACGCTCTTGCTTAGCATAGGCCTGCGCCAGCTTCGCGCCTTGTGTCTGCAAGATGTCAATTTTCTTTTGCAGAACAGAGAACAAGGTCGCGGGCTCTGGATCTTGGGCCACGTCGAAACCCAGCAAGACAGAGGGGCTGCCAGAAGTGGTAGTGGCTTGCACGGGCTCACTGGCGTCCGCGTCCTCTTCTGCCTCGACTGCTGCCCCTTCAGGCTCAGCAGCTGTAAACAACAGCTGCCGCTTGGCTGGTCCGTCCATCTCTGCTTTGACATCTTCCCCCTCAGGAAGAGGCACTGCACACTTCAAAATGGAAGACGGCACGCCGTTTTCTGGCATGTCTCGGGCAACGGCTTCCTGGTCAAGACTTGCTCGAGCATACACCGGGTTCGTTCGCTTGCGAGTGGCAGCACATTCAAGGTAGCGATTTCTGCGCACCATCAGCATGGGTGTCTGTTTTACTTCATCGATGGAGCGGCAAAAGGCCACCACCAAGGAATCTTGCAGGTCTGTGGCAG